GATTGTGTGGGTGATTTGGACCGTCCATCGCGATCAATCTCATTCGTCCAATCGGGCCTAAACAGGAAATGCATCTGAGCCGTTCATGCGTGGGGGATGTGATATGGGCAGTCGGATCGTCCAGGCACGCGGATCGCCCATGTGGCCTCCCGCGTTGAGCCAATGTCAACATATTTGCCACACAACGCGTTCTAACTTGTCGAGGCTATTGACCGGGTCGTCCCACGTGGCGAAACTTCTTTTTTTTTTTGCGATTTTACCTTTTATTTTTAAATTTTATTTCAAAAATACCTCATTTATTCACAATTTCATTCATTTTTTTTTCTAAAATTATTTTTAACTTTGTCCCTAATTCATTGTTTCTTAAAAATTTAACAAAAATTAAATTAAAATAAAAAATTAACTATTTATGTATATATTTTTATAAATTGAAAAAATTATCCCGAACGAAAGTTCCGGGCCTAGGTGTCACATATATTACATATGTATGTATAAATGTGTAACCATCTCCCCTATCCTTTATATAGACTTAATATTATTTCATATCTATATATATTATTTAAGTAATACTATTAGACAAGTTAATTTGATATATATTTTAATATTATTGCATACATATGTTAATTATATAATAGTAATTATTTATTTCTTTATTTATTTATGGATATATTTTTTTTGTTCCAACTTAACAAGAAGATTATTATAAATTTATTATTCTAAAAAATATCGAGTAGAAACATATAGTGAATTGGTACAAGCTATTTTAAGGGGAGAAGCAAACTCATCTTCACGAGGAAAACTTATAATTCTTCTATCAATTTTTCTAGAAAGTGTTTGATACATTATTCATATGAGAAAATCCAATGGATGTATCTAGATGAGTTGATATCTTGACCTATTAGTGATTTTACTTGCACTTAAATGTATGTGAGTAAAAGAATTTTGTTAAATTTAGATGAATTAAAAAAAAAACTCCAAAGCACGATAGTCACCACGTTACTAAAATGTAGTAGAAATCTTATTATTCTTAAAATCACATCATTAAACATATCTTATTGATATATTAATTAATAAAATATTAATTTTATGTTTTTACTAAGTAGTGACTTACTCAATTGAGTTTAATAAGCGGAACTTTTTCCATGCTTATAATAAACATATATAAAATAAAAATTAGTGTAGAAAGTTCATTAAATCTTCTTCACTAAAATCTTTAATTAGTGTAAGTTTTTTTAAAAATTTTGATAAAAACTTTGAATGTTAAAACTAGTAATTCAATTCTGTTAATTTAAAACATATACCAATAATCTCGTTTATATAATGACACAAAATTAATGTTTACTCAATAAGATATTTACACATTATATGCAAAAGTTATATAATGTAATATAAAGAAAAAGTTATATAGGACACGCAATCATTATTCTCCAAATGTACTTAACTTAGTTTATTCAATATGTATTTCAAGCTTTAGAGAAAACAAGTTCTTTTGTTTTCACCTTTTTATGGCTATAAATAAAAATTAAAGACAATCTTTTTCCATGTTGGCTTACATCTTCTAATAAATGCATTTAGTCATGAATAATTCTATAAAATTATAACATCCATAATGACAATAAAAAATAACTAAAAATAGTTATATCTATTTTTTTAATGCTTATTTTTGTTTTCACGATGTGATTGATAGATTCACCATAACTGAAAATATTCATCTATCCTCTTTAATGCTTATAATAGTTTTTACGATATGATTGATATATTTACCATGTAATAGTTCTACGGGACATCTTGTAGTTTTATAATTTGGTGAATGAAAAAATGTAATCTATTTTTGAGTTCATTACATTCTTGAAAGAATTTAGCAACTAAATCAAAATGAAATATAAAATAAGATGCAATACATGTGGTTATCAATAACCTATATGAGCATACCAAATAACTAATGGTGCTAAGAATTGCCGAAAATCTTCTATTTACTTATTTAATTAAACATGTTCGTTAATGTTCATCCTATAACATTCTAGACATACATCATGGGTGGTAATTCACTTAGTGGAATTTGGATGAACATCCCTTGTTACTGTAGCTACACAACACCTACTCCTTTATCCTTTCCTTTTGAAGGCTCTGTGACTATGTTATTTCTCGAAGGGATCGGTGAGACCCTTCGTTCCTTAATCGTGGTAGTGATTGTTTTTTTATATGAGAGAATCAAAGAAGTTGCTATGCTTTTGAGTGATTCTGCATGAGTGTTCAATTATTTATGCACATTGAAGATATTAAACTTCAAAACTTACTACCTTAAATAGTCTATCATTTTATGATAGAGTACCAAATTGACTTTTCTTACTACATATTTTTCTTTAAATTATTTTACAGCCAATCATAATCCCCCTTATATTGTTAGTTTTTTAAAATATAATTGAAAACCATAAAATATATATTGTGAAAAATAATTTTTAAAATAATATTTTAAAATATTTGTTACCTAAATAAATATTCCCACAATTAATAAAGGTATGAGGAAATCATTTTACTTTATATTTTGTATTTTTATTTAATTTTTCAAATAAAATTTCTATGCTTATAATAAAATACATTGAACATTAATCATTATTACCCGAAAAAAATGTTGTGTGACCACAGAGATTAGCGGATTAGCGTGCACGTACATCGGGATTGACGTGCTAGCTGTAATCAAGATTTACGCGGGAAGTGTACAACTGAAGTGACTTTATCGTACAGTGGCATTTATGTAATTTGCCAAAAGTCAACTTGATCAACGACGTTGTGTCCGGTGAATCAGGTAAATTAGGGTTAATCAGATGAATCATCCCCGAGAGTCCATGGAGGCTAACGTGGAGTCCCGCATATGATTATTACTCGAAGCACGTGCCATTCATGCGGCCAATACGCCTAGCGTGTTCTGGGGGAAGAGTGTGATCTGTTCTTTAAACCCCACGATTCGCAGAGTTGATGAAGTTGTATTTGATTTTTCTATATTAGTTTCCTTCTCTTCGTTTCTCTTCTTATTCTGCTATGGTGTTTTCGTAATCAACGTGGAGTTTCTGATAGCTGTGCAGACGAGGAAAGGAGCGCGAAGATGTTGGAGGATCAGGTAGCGTATTTGCTCCAGAGGTATCTTGGAAACTACGTTAGGGGGCTCAATAAAGAAGCTCTGAAGATCAGCGTCTGGCAAGGTTAAGTATTCTCTTTCGACTTCTCCTTCTTTGTTCTGTTTTTGCTATGTCTTTTTGTGGCCAGGGCTTTGATTTCAAGTTCAATTTAGGAGAACTTACTAGCTGAAAAAAGAACCTTACCGAAAATATTATATTCTGATATGTGGTATTTTGCTAGGGGATACTTATGAGATAAATAGCAGAAAAATAAACAGAACAAATACACTAATAGAATGATAGATGCAGTTCCATTCGGTTAGTATGGGCATGAGGCTGGTACCTTGTATTTTGAATTTGAGTGCTCATGTTTTGAATGAAAATAAACCTCTTATTCTCGAAGTCTGTGTGTGTGTGTGTGTGTGTCTAGCCTCTTCTGTCTCTATCTGTATTTTCTATGTATTAGTGGTATTAGAGTCGGTTCAGTGGCAATAGGAGTCTTCGACAATACTCGTGCTCAGAAGTCGAAGAAGATGGAGGAAAAATGGGAGATATTGAGAAAAAAACTCAATAGTGAAATGGAAGGTTTAAAACGAGATTTCGGTGAGATAAAACATGAATTAAGGGAGGTGAACCAGCTTCTTGGTATTCTGGTTAATCATTGGACCTCTGGAAATGAGGGATCAGCAGAACAGGAGCAATCCGATCAAGAGGGGAAGAACGTGATTTGGAAAGAAGATGAGGAAGAATATGAAGGAATCCACTTCAAATTGGATTTCTTGTGGTCCGACGGCGATCACTTCAGAGGATGGGTTTACAAGGCAGAGCGTTACTTTGAAATTGATAAAACCAATCCTGAGCTGAAGGTGAAGTTGGTGTTGCTGCATCTGGGAGATTGGGCTTTGGAGTGGCAGTGGACATTGATGAGAAATAGAAGTGACAGGTGGCCAACGCGGGAAGAAGATGTGGAAAGTTTGGAGATCATCTTTAGGGAAACAACTTACTCAGACCCTATGGCAGAGCTGACAACGGGCGAGCAAGAAGAGTCCCTCCAAGCTTATTTTAGACAATTCAACATATCGGTAAGTCGCGTAACTCTCACTAACGAATACCAAATAAGCTTATTCATTACGAGACTTAAAGGTTGAACTTAGAGCTCTGGTGCGAGCTCATTACCCCACTTCTCTTTAACAAGCGTACAATCTTGCCAAACTTCAAGAGGTCTTACCAACAATGTATATCAGCTCGCAACCTTACTTATAGTTTCCCATAACTTACAAAGAACCACCAAATTTTCCCTAACCAATCGAGCAAAATCATTGCCTATGTACCTTATAAACATACTTTGAACAAAATTGGAAACACTTTCTTGCCTACTATGCAGAACCAAATCAAACCCTCCAAGAGCTATTCCAACTCATAATATTTTAACCAACACAACTCAAACCATACCACCTATGAGTGGCTAGCAATTGCAACCTACTCCAAACACCCAAAACTGTGAAACTTAACCCATAACAATTGGAAGATAAGAGAGCAAAGGAACAGTGCTACTTTTGTGATGAAAAGTACCACATAGGACACACGTGCAAAACAAGAAGTTATTGATGGTCACTATGCAGGAAGGGAAAGAGGAAGAAGAGGAGAATGAGCTTTCTGAAGAGGTAGGAGAAGGGTCTAATGAAGAGGAGGGATCTACCCTTGCAGATTTCAGTGTATGCTAGCATAACTAAACTAGAGAACTCAACATATTCGATGAGGGTGACAGGGGTGGTGGGAAGAAGGAATCATCGACTCAGGAAGTAGCCATAATTTCTTAAGAGGCAAAGGTGCTAGAGAACTGGCTTTTTCCAGTTACCACGACGAACTCAATGTGGATTGAAGTAGCAAGTGGACACACCATTGAGTGTAAACATTATTGTAAAGATGTGCAGTGGCTGATGCAAGGAGAAAGCTACATGACAACCTTCTCAGTGGTTCCCTTGGGATGCATATAGGTGGTTATAGGGATGCAGGGACTAACCAATCTAAATGGCATAATTTGGAATTTTAAGCAATTGACTGTGATGTTGTGGAAGGATGACAAGTGGATCAGACTAGAAGGAGAAAAGGAGATGAAGATTCAATAAATTTCTTCTCTTAAAATGATGAAAATCTAACTAGAAACACTGAATGGATGGTAAATGTTATTAGAAACCTGAATGATTGGGAAGTTAGTGAGTGTGAACCTCTATTGCAATTACTGGCTTCACAACAGGTTAACTTCGGTTCGAACTAGATCCTGTGGAAATTGAAACATAATGAAGAATTATCGGTTAAATCTTACTATAAACATATTGTATGAACTGGCAGAATATGAATCACAACTTTTTGGATCATCAAATTTGGAAATCTAAGGTGCCTCCTGGAATCCCTTTTTTTGCTTGGGAGCCTAGCTGAGAATATATCTTGACTATTGATAAGCTGATGGCAAGAGGACAGATTATGGTAAACAGGTGTTCCTTATGGATGAATGCAGTGGAATCTTGCAACCACATCCTTTTGTGGTGTCTTACAACTTATGATTTGTGGTGCATGATTTATGGTCTTTTGGGAATTAATTGGGTCATTGCGGGGTCGGTCAAAGAGGAAATTTGGGCTTGGGATGGGTTATGTAAAAAGAGAGAGTTTGTAAAGTTAATTTCATTGACCATTTTTTGGGTCCTATGGAAGGAGAGGAACTATAGAGTATTTGAGAGTAAAGAGGTAGAGAGTCATAGATTGAGAGATAGATGGTTTTACTATTTTGGGTCTATTTTGTTAGGGCATGATATTATTAGAGATGAGAATTTTGGAGATGTCATTGATACACTAACACAATTGTAAATTTTTGTACATAGGTGGTGCTCCCTTGGTATCTTGTTAATACATATTCACACTTTTTATCTAAAAAAAAAAGATAAAAATCTTAAGGAAAGAAGTGTAAGGCAATTGTGGAGTATCTTACGACTCTCACCTTGGAGCCCGAACAACAACACTTGAATTAGCGTTTTCAGAACATACTCACTCAATTCCAAGTTGTCTTTGATGCTTCTATGACCTTACCTCCTCACTGAAGCCATGACCATAAGACCTAGTTCTCTAACCCCACAAAAACCATTAATATCCGGCCATATAAGCATTCTAAAGAACAGAAGGACATAATTGAGGAGATGGTAAATGAACTTTTGGACTTGGGTGTTATAAGACATAGTCAGAATCCGTTTTCCTCCCCTATTGTGTTAGTCAAGAAGAAGGATGGCTCTTGGCGGATGTATATTGACTATGGGACTTAATAAGTGGACGGTGAAAGATAAGCGCACAATTCTGTTCATTGAAGAGTTGTTGGATGAATTGGTGGATCATTTGTATTTTAAACGCTGGACTTGCGTTCGGAGTACCGCCAGATAAGCATGACAGAGAGGTTCGCAGAAGATTACTTTTCGTACTCATGAGGGACGCTATGTGTTCTTAGTGATGCTATTCGGGCTCACTAGTGCCCCCTCAACATTTCAAGCTCTTATCAATCATGTTTTCAAACCTTGACTTCGTAAATTTGTAATTGTATTTTTCGATGACATTTAATAAAGTTTTACTATTTTTGAGCTCACTAACCACTTGCAACAGTTTTTTGATATGTTGAGGCAGAGCCAACTGTTTGTCAAGCGAAGTAAATGCATTTTTTGTAGCTTCACGATAGAGTACCTTGGTCATATAATTTCTAGCCA